TCTGGGGGCGGTGGAGCTGGGGGCTGGGCTGGACCAAAGCCTGAAGAACCTGAGTGTTACTCAAGGTGCTTGCACCCAGCCTGTTTTCAGGAGCTCACTTGGGCTACGTGTGGAAGATGAGTGGGTGTCGGGGTGTGGGGGTGGAGGCAGAGCCCATGGGTCCAGGAGTGATGCTGAGGCAGCTGTGTGGAATGGAGACGTTCAGACGCAGCATCAGTGGGACTCGGTGACTAAGGAGCCGTGGGAGGGGAGGAGGAGGAGCTGCGACCCCACCCTCTCCCTCACCCAAGGTGTGGCTCCGAGATACTCCACTGTGGCACAGAAGACACCAGGCTGCTCCACCCCAGCATCTCATTTCGTCACGCAGGAGGTCTGAGCCCACGGCAGACCAGGACAGACAGGTGTCTGATTATTCGGGGCCCAGGAAGCCTGCTCTGCTGAGATTTCCCCACACGCAGGCTGCTGCCCGGGCCTCCCCAGGGCTCGGAGATGGTTCTGGAGAAAAGAGCCTCTTCCTCTTCCATCTTCCCTGCCCTACTGGGGCAGCTGTGGCCAGGGGGCAGGATAAGCCACCTGCAGGGGTAAGAGACAGTAGGAACCCCCCCACCGCAGCTGCAGATACCCTGGGTGCCACTAGACCGTTCATCTCGCTGGGTCTCTGGTCCCTTCTGTAAAACGACGGGACTGAACTTAATAGTGTTATGGGTCCTTGTAGCTCAAAAAATCTAACTTTTTTTCATTTAAGAAGAGTGGAAGGCCTCATGCCACCGAACGTTATCTTGCCCTGCTCTGTAGTACCTAAAATTCCAGCTGCTTCATTTTGAAATACGTCTTCCATGCAGGGACGGGGGCTCCTATGGGGCACCCACCCTCAGGAGGAATGGGTTGGCTGAGGGTATGGGGGAAGCCCAGTCCAGCAGGCAGAACGAGGCATGGAGCACTTGGCCACAACAGACCACTGTGTCCACAGCTGGCTGCCGTTGGGGCAGGGGGCGAGCGGAGGAGTGGGGACAGTGAGAGCAGCCTAGGCAAGGCCAGTCCGGCAGGCTCGGAAAGGCCTTTCAGCACCAGCGAACCACAGGCCTCACAAGACCTCAGCCCAAGGGAGGGGACTGGCCAGGGTCCTCTAGCCAGGGTGCTGCAGAAGGTTAAGGGGTACGGCAAGGTCAGAAGCCACATTTCAGAGGGTTGAGGAGACACCGCAGGTGAGAAAGCAGAAAGAGCAAGTGGAGTTTGAGAAGGGATGGTTTTAACCACGTGAAGCGTGATCGTGTTCAGTGGCTCAGAGGGAAGAGCCGTAAGAAAGGGAGAGACAGGGTGGGTTTGCACAGTGAGGATCAGCCTTTAGAGAAGGTCCGAGATGACTCTCCTGTGACAGGGGAACAGTGATGGACACAGTCACAGGTACATCTGTCCAAGGCCTGGCTTCCCTCCACTGACCACCCTGCTTCTCTGTCCACAGGCCCCTCCGCCCAGCGACAGGCGCAGAATGGCCCCTCTCCCGACGAGATGGACATGCAGAGAAGGTAACAGACACCCCACCTGGCAGGCTAGCGTGGCAGCCTCCCCACTGGCCAGGGCCCCCTCAGGAAGCAAGGGCCATGGAGGGCCAGGGCTGCCCGAGACACAGACTGGGGCTGGGGGAGCAGGCTCACTGCCGTTTCTCCCGGAAGTCAAGGCCAGGAATGACTGTGAACGTCCGTGCTGTTCACTTCTGGTACCAAATCCTGCGATCAGCCAGCAGTGCCCTGAGTGCTGCTCACACACTATTTCATTTACCCTCCCGAGTCTATCAGTTCCCCGTACATATGATGTGGGTCAGTCATGTACCGAGGCCACCCTGCTGGAGCTGGGCAGGGACAAGCTGGCCTGGGTCTGCCAACTCCGAGCCCTGGTCCTCACCGCCACCTGTGCTGCCTCTTCTCTCCTTCTGTCCTGCTCCTGCCACTGCTGCTCTGGGTGCCTGGGGCAGGTGACATGGCCCCTCTAGGGAGCCCCTGCCCACTCACCTCCCAGGTGGAGGCCCTGAGTGCGCTCTGTGACCTACAGCTACTCTTACAATGTGGCCAGGGCAGTGCCCCCGTCATCATGGGCCCAGCCTGTGGAGGAGCATCCCATGGGGCGTGGTCTGAAGGCTGAGGAGCTTCTAGGCTGTGGTCATGAAGCTCAGAGAGGGGGTCTCCCCAGGTCACATCACCCGGAAGTGGCAGGTCAGGGCTTGAACCCGGCCTGCCATCTGCAGGGAGGGTCTCCACCTCGTCTGATGAGTCGGTGGAGCTGTGCCGAGGGACACCAGGCACCAGCCAGTCCACCCTGACCGCGTGTTCTAGAAAGCAGGAGCAAAGCTCCAGGGCTCTGTGGCTGGAGCCTGGTAGAGCCAGAGAGAGCAGACCCTGCCCCACGCCTGCCCTGGGGCCATCTCCCCAGACTTCTCCAGCTGCACTTTCACAGTCTGAGAAATGATCTCCTCAGGCCCCTTCTAGCTCCCATATTGGACTTCATGACCGTTACCGCTCTAGACCTCAGTTTCCCCATTTTAAAGAAGTGTTAACCCTTGTTCTGCCCACCTCAAGCAAATGAGGCAATGGGTGGGAATATGCTTTCTAGGGTGCTTACAAGTGCAAGGGATCCACTCTTAGTCATTTACATGTGTGTACTGACCCCATAGGAATACAGAGCTTTACAACTGACAAAGGGACTTTTACCCGCTTTGTCTCATTTTGACCCGCACCCTAACCCTTAGGGGATGTTATTACCGTCTCTGTTTCTCAAATGAGCAACTGAGGCTCAGAGAATGGAAATGACTTGCCCAAAGCAACCAGGGAGTTAGAGGCAGGCCCAGGACTGACCTCAAGTCTGACTTTGTCTATCTTCATCAGGCCCAGGGCCACCCTCACCCAGAGCAGGGCGCCCACCAGGCCTCAGCTGTAAATGTCCGGCGGCAGATGGGTGCTCAGGAGAGCTTCAGTTGTTCTCTCAGAACTGGTCAAACATCCACACTGCATTACTTTAGCTCACAGCCCTAGTTTCCCAGGTAGCTGGCTGCAGAGTGCAGGTCAGTTTTGCCTGCAGGGTCTTTCCATGGACTGAGCGGCCCCTGGTGGTCAGCCTGTGAACTGCAGGAGTCACAAGTAGTGAAGGCAGGGACCCTCGGTCCCAGGACGGCTCATTCACCCAGGAGGCCAGGGAGCTGTGACTCACTTGGGGTCACACAGCGAGTGAGTGACTCCACGCACAGAAGCCTCCACCTCTCACGCAAACAGCATCATCAGTGCTGATCAAATGTTCTCATTTTGCTGTGGGTTCCCAAGTATATGCATCCTTTTGAGGAGGTCGAAGTTTTGGGTGCTGTTTCGGCAGTTTGGAGGGAGAAGCTAACACAGATGCTGCTGTATCAGCATCATCCTCACAGAACCCTGGGAAACAGACATTGCTGTGCTGACCTTACAGAGAAGAAACTGAGGCCAGCGAGGAAAAGGGCTTGCCCTGGTCACAAAGCCATTAACCCCAGAACTGGCACAGGAAAGCTGGCTGCCCCTAAATGCTCTGCAGTCAACTTTGGGTCCCATTTTCCCTAGCTCTAAGATCAGAGCGACTCCACGAGGCACTTACTGAGCAACTGCATGCAGACACAGGGCCAGGTACCAGAGAAACGGCTTGCTGTAACTCAAGGGTAGAGATGGTGGCCGATGAGCCCCGTGCTTCCTGGCCACCCTCTCCACTATGGTGGCCATTACTGCCGGCCTCCAGCCTGCTCTCCACTGAGCCCAGATCCAGCCTCAGACGCTCCTGAACCCGAGCTCCACCAGCGGGCATTAGAGCTGGCTCCCCACCAGGTGAAGCCTACTGCCATCCCTGGTCTAGGTGGTTTCTTATGTCTCCTCTTGCCCCGGCGTCCTGGCCCCCAGATTCTGTGGACATACTTGTGGGTGATGGCCTCACCTTTGAGCGTCCCAAAGCCACTCAGGCCGTGAGCACCCACCAAGGAACGTGTAGCTTTGTGCTCAGTGCACCACGTGAGCCTCTGGATGAAGGCAGTCTGCAGCGGGGTCTGTGGCAGCAGGAATGAGGACATGCAACCCTGGTGTCCATTTCTCCTACAACAGCAGTGCCTGAATTGTCCCGGGGAACTTAGCCAGGTGCAGTGAGAACCGGTGTGCCTGGGGCCGCCGAGGCCACAGCCTCACAAAGCCGGGCAAGCCCGTCAAGCCTGGGAAAGCTTGGCCACGTTAGTAAGTGAAATCACACTGGCCAGATGGTTGCCGGAACCTTCTCTGAGAGCCTCCCTGTCCAGGTTTGCGCTGAAAATCAGGACACTGCCAGCACTCACTGTTGAGCCAGTCATGTCCCCTTGGGGGGTCAGCAAGCTCTGACAGTTGGGGCCAAGGTGGGGTGGACGGGCCCTGCCGGGGTCACCCAGCCCAATACACACAGCAGGCTCATGGGCACTGCTGAAACCTGACTCTGCAGCTTGGGCTGGGAACAGAGCCGCATTGTTCTCGAGCTCACAAGAACTCGGATGAGCTCTGTGGACGTTCTCTTTCAGACAAGTGATGGAGCAGCAGCAGCAGCAACGCCAGGAGTCTCTAGAGCGGAGAACCTCAGCCACAGGTGAGAGCGCCCACCTCCTCTGGGGCCTAGTCCCATGCCACCTCTGCCCAGTGGACAGCCAGGTGTCCAGGGGCATGCCAGCCCTCTGTGAAGAGCTGCTGATTGCGATGGTATCCAAAATGTGACAGTCACGTCAGAGCAAGGGGAGGGGACAAGGGAGAAGAGCAGAGGGTTGAAGGGTTGACTCAGCTTGGTGTGGCCCCTGTGTCCGGCACTGTGCTAGGGGCCGGGGACACGAGATGGACAAGGCAGACACAGTCCTGCCCCCAAGGAGCTCACTGTCCAGTGAAAAAGACAGACGAAGTGACACTTGTCCTACCACTTAGTACACATTGTGACCAAGCCGCGTGCAGGGTGCCAAAGGCCCGTGGAGGAGGAGGCTTCCCAGAGAAGGCGTTGGCTAAGCTTCTGTCTGACATGGAAAGGAACTTAGCGTGTGAAAGGGGAAGGAGGAGAAGGTTTTCTGGAAAATGTCAGGCTTGATAAATAGGTACCAAGCTTTATCACATACACAGTGCTGTCACAGCCTTTGTCTTGCCTAATTCTCTCACACATCCCGTGAAATGAGCAGGTGACTATTACCCTATTTAACTGAGGAGAAACCCGAGCCCCAGCTGTTACAGGCACCCTGCCTAAGAATGCTGCCCACTGCCATCACCTCTCCCCCCAGACCCCCTGCTCCCACTCTGTCCGTTCTCTGCACTGTTCCTACACACAAGTGTGTCTTGCATCGCCCCTCACCTCCCTGGTTCTCCCTTCTCTGCACTCTGGCCATCTGTGAGATCCTTTGTGCCTCATGTCCCTGTGCTCAAGCGCCTTTGCCATGCTGCCCCTCCACCTGAGAGCACTCCCACCTCATCTCCTTCCCTCACTGCCCCTCACCCGGCTTCACTCCCTCCCTCACCGCCCCTCACCCAGCTTCACTCCCTCCCTCAC